GGGGGGGGGGGGGGGTTGTAAGTGTTTTACGGCGCTCGCAACTGTATAAGGTCATTATGAGTGTGCGGGACACATTAAACTTTTTAAGTCAGTAGGAAATTTTGAATTTTGTGCGGGTGGCAGCCGAAGACTACTCTTATCGATTTTTGACCATCAAGGGATCTTTAACATGCACATGGAGTAAGAGTTTTACGGCACTTGCAACACAACAAGGTCATATAAGTGCTGCAGATTTGAGGTGTTACAAGAGAGTAACAAACAAAATAGGAGGGCAGATAAGGACGATAAATGGTTTTTTGTTTTTGTAAGTGTTTTACGGCACTTGCGACAATAAGGTTATATAAGTGCCGAAGATAAGAGGTGTTACATACAAGAGAGTAACAAACACAAAATAGAAGGAGGTGAGATAAGGACAATAGATGTCTGATAGGACAGAAGGAGCAAACCACAGCAGAGCACCTGCCAACCACCCACCGAGGGTAGGGGGGATGGTCACTATTACTGTTGAACTGTGGAGAAAGTAGAGTTGAACAGAAGAACCAACTTTCACAGAGTAAATGTTAATAAAATTAAAGATCTGTCCCAGAAGTACGTTTCCCAGTTCTGTAAAATCAACAATCTTTATTTTACAGACAAGACATGATACACGGCATTTTGCACATATCAGCAGAAACAGAAGGAGAGATAAGGACGATAGTTTGACAGGGAAGAAGGAGAAACCACATCAGAGCATCCACTAACAACTCACAGCAAAGCACTGAATAAAGAAATTTTTTTTAGAAAGATTCAGTCCATAAATATCCCAGTTAGTATCATAATTATTCACACCCCATCTATCTCTCAATGCTCTCACTGTCATCCCATACTTTTTTCTTTTAAAACTAGACCGATTAACTCTTCTCAGAATAAGAAAGGTACTTGTATGTATAATTCTGGTGTTTTTAATGACAGATTTGTGAAATCCTTTCATCAGAAAGCAATTTACTTGCCAGGCAAGTAACCTAAAGACCAAACAAGTAAAGAAAAGTAAAGAAAATGACAACATTGCCACAGCTAGAACATTGATTTACTTCAACCCCCCCC